ACTTGCCATGTAAAGGTACATGATCTCAACAATGAATGTAACTGTACTGTATCCCTAAAATGTACCAATAAACTCAATAAAATTAAAAAAAAAACTCTATTGAAAGTGTTCATAGCAGAATAAAAGAATGCAAAAATAGAATCTCAGATATAGAAAATAGGATTGCTGTCAGTGACCATGAAAAGAGAGGTCTTTTAAAATCAGTAAGGGATCATGAGAAATCGATCCAACAACTCCTAGATGATGCAAAGAAGAGTAACATAGGACTGATAGGAATCCAAGAAGTAGCAGGAGAAAATGCAAATGACTTTAAAAAGTTGTTCACAGAATTAATGACAGAAAACTTCCCAAACAGAGGGGAAGAATTTGACATACAGATAAGTGAGGCATATAGGACTCCAACTAGCCATGATAAAAAAAAATCTACACCTAGACATATAATAATCAAGATCCTAGAAACCCAACAGAAGAACAAAACACTACAAGCAGTAAGAGAAAAGAAACAAATCACATGCAAAGGAAAGCCCATCAGAATCACAGCAGACTTTTCAACACAAACCCTCAGGTCAAGGAGAGCCTGGAGTGAGGAATTGCATGTCCTAAAAGAAAACAACCTCCAACCTAGACTGATGTATCCTGCAAAACTCTCTTTTAAAATGGATGGGGAAATAAGACACTTCCACGACAAAGAACACCTGAGAAACTTCATGAACACCAAAGCAGCACTACAAGGAATTCTAAACAATATCCTAGAAAAGGACAATGAAGGTCACAACACCATGAGGCCCAACAGAGCAAATCAAATAGGAAAGACAAGAAACTAAAAGGAGAGGGGGGAAAAAAAAGTAAAAAGAGTCAACAGAAGGACAATAACATGACAATAATAAGTCAGAACATACCAGCTATAACCATCAATGTCAATGGCCTCAATTCACCAATCAAGAGAAATAGACTGGCAGAATGGATTAAGAAGCAAAATCCAACAATAAGTCATATACAAGAAACACACCTAGTGCAAAAAGAAGCCCATAGACTGAAAGTGAAAGGATGGAAAACAATTCTCCATGCAACAGGAGCCCATAAAAAAGCAGGGGTAGCAATCTTATTCACAGACAAAGTAAATTTCAAACCAAAACTGATTAAGAGAGACAAAGAAGGCCACTACATTCTTCTAAAGGGAACAATTCAAGAGGAAGAGATGACAATCATAAACATATATGCACCAAATATTAATGTCCCCAACTATATAAAACAAATATTAAGTAACATAAAAAATCAAATAAGCACTAATACAATTGTAGTGGGGGAGCTGAATACCCCACTATCACAAATAGACAATCATCCAGGCAAAAAAATCAATAACAAAATACTAGAACTGAACCAAGCTTTTGAACGTATGGACTTAATAGATGTCTATAGAGTGTTCCATTCAACAAAATCAGAACATACATTATTTTCAACTGCACATGAGTCATTTTCCAAGATAGACCACATGCTAGCTCATAGAAAGGTTTGAATAAATGCAAAGGAATCAAAGTTATCCCCTCTATATTATCAGATCATAGTGCTATCAACTGGAGATCAATAGCATAAGAAACCATAGGAGCTTCACAAACACATGGAGATTGAACAACACTCTCCTGAACAACCAATGGGTCACAGAGGAAATTAAAGAAGAAATTAGACAGTTTTTACAAATAAATGATAATGCCAATACAACATACAGGAACCAATGGGACACAATGAAAGCAGTTCTACGTGGAAGATTCATAGCATTGAATGCTCACACTAGGAAAACGGAGCGAGCTCAAATAAACAACCTAATGATGAATCCTGGACTTCTAGAAAAAGAAGAGCAAGAAAAACTCAAAGCCCGTACAAGAGAGGACAATATAAAGATTGGAGCAGAAATCAATGCAATGGAAACTAAGAAAATGATACAAAAATAATTGAATTGAAGAGTTGATTTTTTGAAAGAATAAATAAAATTGATAAACTCCTAGCTAACCTTATCAAAAAAAAGGAAAGAAAAGGCTCAGATTCATGCAATTAGGAAAGAAAAAGGTGAAGTCATAACAGATCCAACAGAAACCTAGAGGATCGTCAATACCTACTTTGAGAACCTGTACTCCTATAAAATGGAAAACATAGAAGAAATGGACAGATTTCTAGATACTTATGAATTACTAAAGTTGAACGAAGAAGATAAAAAACATTTTAAACATCCCAATCACAATCAGTGAAATTGAAAATGCAATTAAAAGTTTACCAACAAAGAAAAGCCCTGGTCCTGATGGATTCACTTCTGAATTTTACAAGACATTTAGAGAAGAACTACTGCCATTACTCTTCAGACTTTTCAATGAAATTGAAAGGGAAGCAATACTTCCAAATTCATTCCTGGAAGCAAGTATCACTTTGATTCTCAAACCAGGGAAAGACACAACTAAAAAAGAGAACTACAGGCCAATCTCCTTAATGAATATAGATACAAAAATCCTTAATAAGATACTATCAAACAGAATACAGAGGATTATCAAGAAGATCATACATCCTGACCAAGTCGGATTTACTCCAGGGATGCAAAGATGGTTCAACATACGTGTCAATAAATGTAATACACTATATTAACAGAGTCAAGGAAAAAACCATATGATCCTCTTGATAGATGCAGAAAAAGCATTTGACAAAATTCAACACCCATTCATGATAAAAACCCTGCAAAAAATTGGAATAGATGGTCTATATCTAAATTTATTAAAGGCTATCTATGAAAAAACAACAGCCAACATCATATTAAATGGCCAAAAACTGAAGACCTTCATGTTAAAATAAGGAACAAGACAAGGATGCCCACTATCACCACTCCTCTTGGAAACAGTCCATTTGCCCATCAATTGGAAACTGGATAAAGAAGATGTGGTTTTTCTAGAAAATGGAATACTACTCAGCCATAAAGAATGAGAAATTAGATTCATTCATAGGAAAATGGATACATATTGAGGATATACTCCTAAGTGAAATAAATAAGTCACACATGTGTAAATACCAAATAGTTTCTCTGGTGTGAAAAACTATAATAGTACATAAGATCCTAATGATATAATTGACAGTGTGAAATAGGAAGAAAAAGGCAAAGGTGTAGGGAAAGTGGTGAAGCATAGGGGAAAGGTAATAAGGGAAAAATATGACAAAATGAAAAAATGGAAATAAAGTGTTTGTAAATGGGGGGAGGAGGGGGTGAAGGGAGGGCAGTGACAAGGGGAAAAATGAGAACCAAGACCTGTCCTATAAAGGTACAAGATCCCAATGATGAATGTAACTGTACTGTATACCTAACATGTACCAATAAACTCAATGAGAGAAAAAAAAGAGAAGTAGAGGCTAATCTTTTTAATGAACATATATACAAAAATTCTCAATAAGATACTGGCAAACAGAATGCGGTAAATCATGAAACAGATAGTACAGCATGACCAAGTAGGATTCATCTCAGCGATTCAGAGATGGTTCAACAAACACAAATGAATAAGGGCAATAGATCACATAAACAGAACTAAGGACAAAATCCATTGATCATCTCAGTAAACACTGAAAAGCATTTGACAAAGTCCAACACCCATTCATAACTTTAAAAAATCCTACAGAAAACTGGAATAGATGGGCTCAATCTCAAATCTGGTAAAAGTCATCTATGAAAAACCAACAGCAAATATTAAGTGGTCAAAAACTGAAATATTTCATTCTAAAATCAGGTACAAGGATGTCCACTATAACTGCTCCTATTCAATGTAGTTCTGAAAACATTAGGCAGAGTAATTAGATAAGAAAAAGAAATATGGAGAGGAGAGGAAGAAGTTAAATTATTTGCAGAAGGCATAACACTCTACAAAGAGCGCCCCAAGAATTGCACCAGGTGCCTTCTAGAATAACCAAACTCAATAGTGTAGCCAGATACAAAGTCAACACTCAAAGTTCAGTAGCATTTCTGTACACAAATAAGAAGCTGAGAGAGAAATTAAGGAAATACCTTTCACAATAGCATCAAGAAAAACAAAATACTTAGGAATTAATTTAATGAACAATGTAAAAGATCTTTACATTGCAAACTACAGTACTCTGAAAAGAACATCAAAGAGGATATTTTAAAATGGAAAGATAACCCTTGTTCTTGGGTAGAAAGAACTAATATAGTGAAAATGGCCATACTTCTAAAATTGTACACAGTTTTAATGAAATCCCAACCAAAATATGAAAGACATACTTCATAGAAAGAGAAAACAATCCAAAATTCATTTAGAAACGGCAGAGATCTAGTGTAAGAATCACCTGACAAGCCATTCTCAAACCTGAACAAGAAGTGATGAAGACAAAAAATAAAAAGACACAGAAACAAGTTAAAATCTGGGAGACTGAGGGGCTCATGTCTCCCTTCAACATAGAGCTTCAAATAACTGGTGCACCTTGGCTTTATTCACACAGAAACGGGCACAAGCAATTAATGTTACACAGGATTCATCTGTCTCCCACCCTGCTTGGTACTTCTCTGGGTAAACAACTTAACCTCAGGTGATTTTTACCTTTCCCTGTAACATGTTAGCATGCTTGCATACCCTCTTTCTTCTCAGTGCTCACCAACAAAGATGACTAGACCTCATTCTTCCTATGTGATCTCTACATTTCCCCTTTTTTGTTTTATACTAACAGCAGTTTGAATATTAACCACTGCTGTTTTATCCCTAGGTGAAGTAATAAGTATCAATAAGGACTATACTTCCACCAGTCATAACGTATTTGCACTGGCTCTATTCAAGGGACTAGCACTATCTGACTTCTTACACTATCACTGTCTCCCCTTCTGGAGAGGTACCCTTTAACTGCCAACAGGGAGTAATGGGCACAGGCTGCTCTAACTACTTCCTGCTGAAGAGGGGCATAGTTGTAATTGGCAGTCAGAGGGTCTATTCAAAGGGCCCTTGATAGATGCCAGGTGTTCTCACCTCAGGTAGGTGCTGACCAAGTCTTTCCACCTCCTGAGTAATTTTCTTCGGTTGGCATCTGAGGGAAGGCTTTCACCGTTGAGAGCAGTGTCGAGTTCCTACAGGGACACATCACAGGGAGGACTTCTCCATGGTCATATCCTCCTAGAGAGTACCCACACTGCCTGTCCATTTTGGGCAATGATACAAGCAAATCCCTGCCCTCATGCCTGCAGAGTCCCTCCCATTTTCCTGTTTCTGAGGACTGCCACAACACTTGCACCTTTTTTTCCCTTTTCTCATACTCCTGTACTTTTGACGAATTCCACCAGTCTCTTATGGAGAGCATTGTAAAGGAACACGACATGAGCCCAGCCATATTGACCTGTGATTCACCCGAGCAGTGTGGACGTGCCGTCGCCCATGGCAACAGGCTAGTTCAGCGGGTGGTCTGATCTATTGCCTAGCAGATGTAACCCATAATAGTTGTTATTGTTCCCTCTGGAATGTGTGGGCGGTACTCGCGCTCCCGTGCAGCGGGAGAGTATAAAAGGGAAAGGTTCGGTAATAATAAAGCAAGCAAGGAACATGAGAAGAAAGGTGCCTCTTATCTCTCTGTCCTCCTCCTTTCAGGTTTAGGACCTGCTGGCAGGATCCTGACATCGCGGCTCGCGACAGTCTTTAAATGATTAGTGATATTAACTACATAGGTGGAATTGCATAGTATGTTAACAGCTGCTGCCAAAGTACATTCTAATATGGTAATCACAGCAACCAATTCTGATCTTTGAGCCAAAAATCCAGGGATAGCAATTTTCTGGTGATTTTGCACAGTCCAATAAGCAGCAAAATCTCGAGAAGATCCATCCATAAAATATGTTGAAGCATTCATAAAAGGAGTTGTCTGAGTATTTCTAGGTAAAATAAATAACAGCTGCACAAACTTATCTGAAGGATAATGATATAAAAGTTAGTGGCAGGAACAGATAATACAAAATGCGGTTGGTCCTGTGGGCTTAAAGGGATGGTAAAAAAGCTCTGAAAACCAATAACTATCATGGAACTGCATTGTTTCTGGATGTATCCTGTTTTGTCACAACTAAAACATTGTATCTTTGAAGAAGCCTTATTTTTTTCCATTAAGTTTATTGGTACATTTTAGGTGTACAATACAGATACATTCATCATTATGTTATACCTTTACATGATGTATTTTGGTTCTTATTTTTTCCCCATTCCTCTGTCCTCCCTTCATCCCCTCCACCCTTCCCTACTTACAGAGACTTTGGTTCCATGTTTTTACGTTTCTCATATTTTCTCTTCCCTTCTATCCGTTCCCTTACCCCTCCTACTTCCCCTATTCCTTTAGACATTTTGAAGCCTTATTTTGTTTAATTAAACCAAACACAGTTTGAGCAAACAGAGGACATATGGCCTTCATTATCCACATCTTGACACTTTCAAATAGGTTCCCCAGGCTCATTTCATTATAAGAGCCATTTGTTGATATGCCTGGTCTAGAAGTATTATCTGGGAGATTAGATCTGAGTATGGATCTATTCCCATCACCATTTCTTCTGTAAATCTCTGGGTGTCCTACTTATTGCCCGATTCTGTCAAGCTTACTCTGCTGCTAACTCTTGATAGTTAATGTGAAAATGTCGCGAGCCGGCGACGCAGAGCAGTGTCCAGCAGTGTCTCAAACCTGAAAGAGCAGCGGGGTGGAGATGGGGCAGAGAGAAAGAAAGGACGCCAAGACAAGAGTCTGATCAAGGCGACGTTTATTGCAGGCAAGCATCAGCCTTTTAAAGGTACATCAACAGGAAACACCTGACTCCTACAGCTAACGTCAGATCTTTAACAGGAAGCACCTGACTCCTACAGATCTTTAGCTATCCGAGTTTCTCCAGTGCAGGGTCAAAAATAAGTTTAACACGTGCAGTCCTTAAAAAGGAACAAATGTTAACAAATGCAAATTAGGAACATCCTGACCACACATTGTGGCAATGCCTTGATTATAAAGAAAGAAGTTATCTTTCAAAAAGCCAGTGGGCCATGACTGGCTCCCCCACATGAAAAGTTAAGTATTGCCCTAAAGAGAGGCAGGACTTAGCTAAATGCTTAATACCTAAAGGAGGCAAACAAACAGCTCATACTACAGACTCCAATAAGCCTATCATGAAAGGTCCTTGAACCCCATCGTACATGTCACAGGATTTTAATTCTTTAAGCAACTTATACTGTAAAATTGTGCTCATGAACACTTTACTGTGGATTGTTAGGGTCAGGATGAATAGTAATTGGAAATGTACATGCCCCAAAAGGCTCCACATTAAGTGCATGCAGCCCGTCTAACCAATCTTTGACAAGGAGACACTACTTCTGTCTCAACCACCGATGGAAAAAGAGGAGAAGAAAAGGGGACATAGGTTCTTCACTCTCATCTTCATCTTCTCTCAGGCTTGCATTAGGTGCGAGATGTTCCCCTGCAGTTAAAGGGCACAGAATAGCACCAACCAAGTTCCATGTGGAGAAAGTTTGGGGAATACAAGCATGCTCCAAACTCTTACTCAACCCCAACTCTTTACATCAAACGTACCTATCTGAACAAACCAAGAATTTTCTTGCAACATCTGAGAAAATAACTGGGTACTAACTTGAGCACCAGACTGGAACAAAATAATTTCCATCGAAGGAATATAGCATTGTTCTTCAGTCAATGAATTCTGCCCCATTTACCCTAGCTGACTCTACCACAAGCACTCATGTCCCTTTTCTCTCATTTTCTTTTCCTTTTGTCATTTTCTTTTGGCCATTTGTTGGTTTCTCTTGCTGGCCAGCACCTCTCTGCTGTGGCAGTCCTTGTTACTGATTCACTAGACTTTTCCCCAGGGAAGACTTCCTGGACCAGGTCCCTGTTTGGATGTCACCTGTAGGAACCAGCCTACAAGCTGGACTTTCAAACCAGACCAAAGGGTGACAAAGATGAAAAATAAAGACACAGAAATAAGTTAAAATCTGGGGAACGAGGGGACTCATGTCTCCCTTCAACACAGAACCTCAAATAACCGACACACCTTTTCTTTATTCACTCAGACACAAGTGCAAGCAATTAGAGTTGCACAGATTCATCTGTCTCCCACCCTCTATAGCACTGCTCCTGGTAAACAAATTATCCTCAGGTGTTTTTACTTTTGCCTGCAGCATGTTAGCATGCTCTTCTCAGTGCTCACTGAGGAAGCCAATTAGGCATAATTTTCCCATCTGATCTCCACAATCTAGAAAAGCAAAAACAATTCTGGGCAACAAAAGCAAGCATCACAATTTTTTACTTGAAATTATACTGCAAAGCTACCATCATAAAAACAGCATGGTACTGGCAAAAAATCCAACCAACCAAACAAACAAACAAAAAAACCCCAAAAAGCCAGACCTGAGGATCAATAGAACAGGTTAGAAGATGCAGAGAAATCTCCAAACACACTCAGTTACTTTATCTTTAACAAAGGGGCCAAGCACCTACATTTGGAAGAAAGATACCGTTTTTAGTAAATGGTGCTGAGAAAACTGGCTTTCACATGGTGAAGATTAGACCCAAGCCCATATCTCTCATCATACACTAAATTAAAATTGAAATGGATCAAAGTATATAAATATTAAAATAGAAACACTAAATCTTCTGGAAGATGTAATAAGTAAAACTCTGGAAAACATAGGTGTAGGTAAATCTTTTATGAATAAAACCTCACTGCACAAGAAACATTACAAAGAATCAACAACTGGGATCACATCCTACTAAAAAGCTTTTGCACAGCAAGAGAAACCACCAATAGAGCAAAGAGACAAACTGCAGGATGGGAAAAAACTTTTTAGCACTTATTCGTCAAAGGACTGACATCTAGAATATACAAAAAACTAAAAAATCACACCTCCCAAATTGAAAGACCCAATCCAAAAATGGGCATCTGAAACAAATAGACATGTATCAGAAGAAGTACAAATGGTAAATAAATATATGAAAAAAATGTTCAACATTACTGGTCATTGGTGAAATGCAAATGAAAACAACACTGAGATTTCAACTCACTCCAGCAAGAATGGTTATTATCAAGAAATAAACCAATGCAAATGCTGGCAGGGCTGTGGGGAAAAAGAAACTCTTCTCCACTGTTGATAGAAGTATATATGGTGCAATCATTATGGCAATCAGTATGGATATTCCTCAAAAAAACTGAAAGTAGAGGTTCCATTTGTCCTAACTTGTCCTAACCTTCCTCTTGTTGGTATCTTTCCCAAAGATTTAAAAGCATCATACCACACCAATATATGCACATCCAAGTTTATAGCAGCACAATTTGTAATAGCTAAATCTTGAAAATGGCCCAAATCTCCATCAACAGATGAATGGATAAAAAAGATATTTTCATACAATGAGGTACTACTGTAACATAAGAAGGATAAACTTGAGACATTCCTAGGTAAGTTGATGCACCATCAGGCCATACTTTTAAGTGAAATAAATCAGGCACATGTTAAAATATTGTATTGTTTCTCTAGTATGAGAAACCAAAAGGGTAAGAACCAAAATGTTGAATAAATATTGAGAAATAGGAAGAAAATGTTCAAATGAGAAGGGGAACAAGGGAGGGGGAAGGGGAAAAGAAAGAAGAGAAAGAATAGAAGTAAAAATGGAAACACTAGTAAATAAGGAGGGTAGGAAAGGTTGAAGACAGGGTAGGAGATTAGGGGAGAAAGAAGAATCAAGATATATTATGTACAGGTAGAAATCACTATGATGAATGTGATCATTATGTATATCTAAAGTGTACCAATAAATACTCTAAAAATAAAAAAAATGTCAGACATATAGCTCTTTCTTATTTTTATACATTACAGTTAGTTTTGCTCCTCAAAACAGTTAATACCATAATGTTAGATACAGGTCTGACTTTGAGTCATGTTAATATATGTGCTCACTTTAATTTTTAATTTGAAATTTGCAGAGAAGATGTAATAGAATTACAAAAGCTATACAGATTCTTTTTAGATGGATTTATATATTCTTAACAGGTTTTTTTCTGTCTATATCCACATTTTTTCTGAATCATTTGAGAATAAATTGCAAAATGTATTCCTCTAAATACCTCAATGTGCTTTTTGCAATAATAAGGTATTACTTTATATAATCATGGTGTAGTGGTCAACTGGAGTAAAATTGACATAGATTTAATACTATATTATTGAGAACTAGCCACGATATGTATAGATTGGTGGGGGCCAGGCCACAGGCCCCACAGTCCCGAGGTCAGTACGACTTGCTTTAGAAATAGGGAAATATGCAGAAGCCTGCATGTTTTCTGGCTGTGTGGGGAAAACTCATAATCACAGTGCTCCTAAAGCAAGATAACATCTACTAAGGACAATTAAGAAAATGCAGGAATCCAG